AGGTTTCTAGACCATTTTGTCTGGTCAACAAGGAGTTCCTATTCTCTCCTTCTGTCTTCCTAAAGATCCTACCATAATTAATAGGAGAACAGACTCATGGGTCTGACATCACCACCATAACTAACCCTTGGGTGATTCAACCTATCAGAGCTCTGAGACGAGATTTCCAGAAAAATTCCAGCCCTAAAATGAAAGACTTCTATGGAGGGAGATGCTAACCCACAAAAGGTAATAGGAATAATTTTAAAGGAGTTAGTGAAGTTGATGGAGACATGGTTGTGGTTATTGTGCTGGTATTTTTGGTAATGTGCTTCATGATCTTTTTTTGAGTAGTCATATGATGTAGCCCTTTTTCTTTCCCCTGGCTCTGGTTTCTAACCCTCAATTTAGTAGACCCTACTTGTGCCAACTGGAATAAACACTCTCTCTAAAAAAATCCTTGGTCGATGGGCCACTCTCCTAAACATCTCTACGATACATCTGGTATTGTCCATATCATACCAAGCTCATGTTCCCTCCTTGATTGTTGCATTGTTCCAACTAATCTCTCAAAGTTTATGATGGGATAGTTTGGCTCAGATGATAGATTTTTATGGAGCCAGATATTGAATTCCTTAGAATATGTCCCCTCATGAATGTGCCCCACAGAAATCCATAATCATATAAGATTCTCTGTATGCTACCATTGCAAGGGAGAGTATTATATAGGTAATCATTCATTCACTCATTGTACATATCATAAAATTTACCCATTAAAGTTTACAAATATTTTGCCAAGTGAGGGGTGCCTGGGTGGCTCAGTCGGTTAAGTATCTGCCTTTGGCTCATGTCATGATCTTGGTCCTGGGATGGAGCCCTGCATCGGGCTCCCTGCTCAGTGGGGAGCCTGCTTCTCTCTCTCCCACTCCTCCTGCTTGTGCTCTCTGTCAAATAAATAAATAAATAAAATCTTTAAAAAATATTTTGCCAAGTGTTACAACCTCACCATAAATGAGTTTAGAACATTTTCATGCCCCCTTATGTTCATTTATAATTAATCTTGGTTCCGCAGTCTAGCCCCAGGCAACCACTAATTTACTTTGTATAAACTTGCCTTTTCTGGAATTTTCATAAAAATAGACTTTCACTAGCATAGTGTTTAGCTTGTGCCAGTAGTTTGTTACTTTTTATAGCTGAATAATATTCCATTGTATGGATACAACACATTTTGTCTATCCATTCCCCGGCTGATCAACATTTCAGGTTATTTCATTTCTTGAGCTATTCTGAATAATGCTTCTATGAACATTCATGTACAAGCCTTTATGTGGGGATGCCTGGGTGGCTCAGTTGTTAAGCCTCTGCCTTTGGCTCAGGTCATGATCCTGCGGTCCTGGGATCGAGCCCCGCATCGAGCTCCCTGCTCAGTGGGAAGCCTGCTTCTCCCTCTCCCTCTGCTGTTCCCCCTGCTTGTGCTCACTCACCCTCTCACTCTCTCTCTGTCAAATAAATAAATAAAATCTTAAAAAAAAACAAGTCTTTATGTGGATATATATTTTCATCTCTCTTGAGTAGTTGCTTAGAAGTGGAATTGCTGGGTCTTAAGGCAGTTTTAAGTTGTTTTGAAACTACCACAGTTTTCCAAAGGGCCGTACCATTTTACATTTCTGTCAGCAGTGTATCAGGGTTCCAATCTCTCCAACCTCGCCAACATTTGTTATTGCCTGCTGTATTTATTAAAGACATTCTAGTGGGTGTGAAATGGTATCTTACCGTGGTTTTAATTTGCATTTTTCTAATGACTAACGGTGTTAAGCTTCTTTTCACGTTCTTATTAGCCATTTGTGTAACTTCTTTGATGAAATGTCTGTTCGTTTCTTTCGCCCCCTATTTGAGTTGTTTTCTTAATTATTGAGTTGTAAGTATTTTTTTATATATTACCGATACAAATCCTTGATCAGATATGTTTTCCAGATATTTCCTCCAGTCTGTAACTTGTCTTTGAATTTTTTTTTTTTTAAGATTTTATTTATTTATTTGACAGAGAGACAGTGAGAGAGGGAATACAAGCAGGGGGAGTGGGAGAGGGAGAAGCAGGCTTCCCGCTGAGCAGGGAGCCCGATGCGGGGCTCGATCCCAGGACCCTGAGATCATGACCTGAGCCGAAGGCAGACACTTAACAACTCAGCCAATCAGGCGCCCCTGTCTTTGAATTTTCTTAATGGTATATTTTGAAGTGCACAAGTTTTGAATTTTGATGCTATCCAACTTATCTGTTTTTTCAGTGATAGACTGTTTTTGGTCCAACAGAAAACAGTCCATCTGTAGAATAGGTAGAAGCTTTAATCTAAGAAATCTTTGCCTAACACAAAATCTGGAAGGTATGCTGTTTTCTTCTAGAAATTTTATTGTTTTAGCTGTTACATTGAAGTCTATGATCCTTTTGAGTTAATTTTCTGTATGAGTTGAAGGTCTAAGTTCATCTTTTTGTGTGTGGATAATCAATTGTCCCAGCACATTTGTTGAACAGACTATTCTTTCCCCCAGTGAATTGCCTTAGCACCTTTGTCAAAAATCAATTAACTATAAATATAGGGATTTATTTCTGGACTCAGTTCTGATCCATTAATCTCTATGTCTATCCTTCTGCCAGTACTACTGCTGAGGAGATCTTAATATGGAAAATTATTAATACATTCTGCAAGCTAATGACTCCTCAGAATTTGAGGATGACCAACTCCAGAAAGTGGGACACAGACTAGTATTCTCATAAATGGCTCAGAAACAACACAATAGGTCTTTAATAAGGTATGTTGGCTTGAATTGATACTAATTGTTTTAAAACAAGATTTTATTTATTTGAGAGAGAGAGAGTGAGAGCAGGGGCAGGGACAGGGGCAGAGGGGGAGGGAGAGGGAGAAACTGTCAAGCAGATTCTGGGCTGAGCCAGAAGCCTGACGTGAGGCTCAATCTCACAACCTGAGCTGAAACCAAGAGTTGAGCACTCAACCGAGCCACCCAGGCCCAAGGTGATACTAATCTTAAATTTCACTAATTCTAACACATCTATAAACAAGTCCCATTTGTAAATAGTTATCACTGGTTCTGTAGAAAATGTTGGCCTTGCTTGTAAGACTACTAGGATGGTGGCCAGTGGATTGCTCCACTCTTTTTTTTTAAAAAGATTTTATTTATTTATTTGAGAGAGAGAGAGAATGAGAGAGAGCACATGAGAGGGAGGAGAGTCAGAGGGAGAAGCAGACTCCCCGCCGAGCAGGGAGCCCGACGCGGGAGCCCGATGCGGGACTCGATCCCGGGACTCCAGGACCATGACCCGAGCCGAAGGCAGTCGCTCAACCAACTGAGCCACCCAGGTGCCCGATTGCTCCACTCTTGATAGTTTTTTGCAGAGGTTCACAGAGCTGGTTCTCTTTCTTACCTGAATCTGAAAGATTAAATTTGTCACCACAACCATGCCAGAAATATAAACTGACCATAACATAACAAGGTCTTTGTAGTGGTTATTAGGTCTTTGACAACCATTCTCATTGCCCTGTCCTTTCAAGAACTTGTTAGCATTGTATTTTCCTGGCCTCCTTGAAGTTAGTCATGGTCATGACTTGATTTGGCCATCAAAATCAGTGTTGGGTGGGACTTTTAAAAGCCCATATGGAATTCGTCAGGTTTCCTAGTCCTGTCTCACGGAAGTGTGCAATAAGATGGAGCCTCCTGCAGCCTTGGTCCCTGAGTGACGTGCAGGCTATCCCAGATTCCCCACAGCAAGCACTGTCGCTTATATAAGAAATGTTAGTTGTCCTGGAAATATGTGATATGTTACTGTAACATAACCTAGCTTATTAGAACTGCTACAAACTATACTTAATGTGAAAACACGGCCTAAAAATCTGTCAGATCGTTCATTTGTAAACAGCTCTAGGAGTCTAGGTTTGGGTTCCACTCCTGGCTCTGCCAGATGGGCTCTAGCTCAGCTTCTCTGGTCAAGCATGAGGTCCATTATCCCTTCAAGATACACATATTTACCCACTCCATGGGGCAAAGAGCTTGTTCTCAAGAGCCAGACTGCCTGAGGTGGAATCCCAGCTTTTATGCAGGGGACAGTTTTTGTTGTTGTTGTTGTTGTTTTTAAGATTTTATTTATTTATTTGACAGAGACACAGCGAGAGGGAACACAAGCAGGGGGAGTGGGAGAGGGAGAAGCAGGCTCCCCGCTGAGCAGGGAGCCCGATGTGGGGCTCGATCCCAGGACACCAGGATCATGACCTGAGCTGAAGGCAGACGCTTAACGACTGAGCCACCCAGGCACCCCCACAGGGGACAGTTTTAGCCATGTTTCTTAACTTAGGTGGCTGTTTCCACATGTGTACAATGTAGACAACAGTGTCTATACCCTATAGGAATACATATAAAGTATTTAGGACAGTGCCTGGTAGAGAGTGCTTTGTGGGTATTAGCTGTTAGTGAGGAATGGCTCTTGCTGGCCCTCTTCACCTCTACCCAGCCATCCATCCAGAACATGCTGGGCACAGCCATTCCCCTCTATTCTATCAGAGAGCTGAGCACTGGGCAGAACAGTCAACCCTGGAATGCTTGGGTCCAATTCAAATGATAAAACTCTGGGCCTGGCTGTAGATTTAAGCTGTAGTGAAAAATGAAATTGAGAGGCACCTGGGTGGCTCAGTCAGTTAAGCGTCCAACTCTTGGTTTCGGCTCAGGTCATGATTTCAGGGTTGTGAGATCGAGCCCCACATCGGGCCCTGCGCTTAGCACGTAGTCCGCTTCAAATTCTCCCTCCCTCTCCCTCCTGCTCTCTCTCAAATAAATTAAATAAATAAATAAATAAATAAATAAATAAATAAATAAATAAAATCTTTTTTAAAAAGGCAATTGAGAGCTATGAATATGTTCTAGGTTACAAGAACAGTTCAACATCTAGAAAGTTCATAGAACTGGAACTGACCAAGTCTAACTGGCTTCAATCAATGGGAACTGGGAAGCAAACGTCACATTCCCACTCACACCCAAATAACTCATGTAACACATGGTGGGTGTCTGGTTTATTCAAACCGTCGGTCAGAGCCCCATCCCTGGCCAAGGAGCAGGAAGTGATTGGCCAGGAGCTGTGGGGCTCAACAGGGGAGGACTGGGCAGGTATCAGAGGGTAAAAGGGGCTCAGCCGAGCAGCCAGAGTTGCTGCATCAGGGCCAGGCTGAGCAGGAGAGGCTCCAGCCCTCGGGGCAGGGCCCCGGCACTCATGGCCAGGGCATAGAACCTCGCCACCTCCTCGTTGGGGTTGCCCTGGGCCGGGTCGAACCACATCTGGATGCAGCGGCCGCTCCCTCGGCTGTAGTTGCTGAGTTTGTAGGAGTGACTCCAGATTTCACGGCACAGAGCAGCCGATGTGGGGAAGTAGAAATGGAAGGGAAGGCAGGCGGCTCCCGCTGGGCACTGGTTATAGCCTGTAGGGAAGATGGGAGACCTTCAGCCACTGGGCCCAGAATTAGCTTTGCTTCCACCAAGCCCACAGCCCCAAATATTCCTATGCGAGCCCCACACCCCACACTTCCACCTCCAGATCTCTCCCTTCCCGCCCCGCCCGGGCCCTCACCTGAGGTCCAGTCCCAGCCCCTGTGCCAGTTGCTCTTGCAGGTGTAGGAGGTGCGACAGTCCTCCCACCATTGCTGGCAGTCCTCTTTGCACAGGGGCACGTCCAGGATGCGCTCCTTGCGCCAGCTCTGGTTCACCTGGGTGGGAGGTCAGTAGAGAAAAAGGGCTCAGGTTCATGATTCTCAGCAGCTCAGCCCTGAAGAGACCCAGAGCTGGAGAGGCAGCCTGACGAGAGGTCTGGGAAGCTCAGCTCCTCTGTAAAGATGGGGGTCCAGGGAGGACACTCATACCTCCTGGATCCAGGGCCCCAGGTTAGGGGAGCACTCATACAGGCAGGTGTCCTGGATGAAGTGCCTTTTGCAGGCAGGTGTCATATGTCCGCAATGGTCCCAGTTGAATTTGTACAGGTAGGAAATATCCTTATGGGCTTCCTGGCTGGTGTTGGCGAAGCAGCAGGAATTCTTCTTCCAGGGGCTGCACTGGGTGGGGAAGACACAGGGACTAACTCCCACACCCGGCACACCCACAATATTCCCACGTGCAGCCTCGCCCCTTTTAGTCTTTGATCCCCCAAGGCAGTCAGTCTTCCAGGGCAATGCTTGCCATTGGGAGACCCTCTTCAGGGGCAGTGCAGGCATTATGAAATTCATTAATTCAAATCTTTATTGAGCTCCTACTTCCTCTAACCCAGAGAGTAGAGACATGACAAGGAACACTTCTCACAGGATACCTACTTTGGAAAGAGATTAAAGCAGGAGAGAGGGATGGGGAATTGCAGCTTTCTAGAATGGTCAGAGATGCCTCACTGAGAAGGTCACAAAACACCTGGAGGTGAGGAAGCAAGTCAAATAAATTAGAACCTCAGAATAGATCTAATTACAGATATACTCAAAACACTGAATAAATGAAAACCCATAGCTTAGAATGCAGTATAAAAGCAAAATATTAAAGTGTGCACTTTAGGGGCACCTGGGTGGCTCAGTCGTTAGGCGTCTGCCTTCAGCTCAGGTCATGATCCCAGGGTCCTGGGATCGAACCCTGCATCGGGCTCCCTGCTCAGCGGGAAGCCTGCTTCTCCCTCTCCCACTCTCCCTGCTTGTGTTCCCTCTCTCACTGTCTCTCTCTCTGTCAAAAAAATAAATAAAATCTTTAAATAAATAACTCCCTATCCCTCCTGCTCTCTCTCAAATAAATTAAATAAATAAATAAATAAATAAATAAATAAATAAATAAATAAAATAAAATGTGCACTTTATTTTTAGAGAGGGATTGTGCACACACATATGCACAAAAGTGGGGTAGAGGCCGGGAAGGAGGCAGAGGGAGAAGGAGAGAGAGAAGTCCAAGCAGGCTCCACACTCAGAGTGGAGCCCGATGCAGGGCTGGATCCCACGACTCCAAGATCATGACCTGAGCTAAAATCAAGAGTCAGAGCCTCAACTGACTAAGCCACCTGGGCGCCCCTAAAATGTGCACTTTAAAAACAATATATAGGCTGAAGAAGTTAAAGTCAAGGCTGCTCCAAGTATCCAAGTTACACCATCACTCAGCTGTAGGCTCAGTGATTCAAAGCAATGCGATCACTATCTGCTAATGAGGTCAAGATGAACGTTGACATATTGGAATGCATTTTGCAAGTGGCTTCCCTTTTGTGTTTTCTTTACAGTTATGGCATCATATTGATTTTTTTAAACATGTAGACAGGTTCAGGATATTAAAGGGGTTGTGGTAAAACAATTGTCATAGAAAGGAGACCTCAGGTCCAATAAGCAGGTCAAGAACCCCAGAGGAAATGTTTGCTAGATGCGTGAATCAAGGTGCCTCACACCCAGCCTTACGACTGTGAGAAATCCAGTCGCTGGGGCTGGCAGAATAGAAGCCACGATGTGCTGTGGGTACTTTCTCCTCTCAAGACTGTTAGCGGGGTCAGTTCCAGCCTAGACTCTGAAATCAAAATGAACCCCTGGGCTGGGTCGCTCCAGTGTCATTTCCCAGGCTCCTCTCTGGACATGCTTCTGGGTTTGTGTGCCCCGGAAATGAAACCACCAAGAAGCTGAGCTCTTGGTGTCGTACTGACAACATGGGGCACTGAGCATGTGGCAAGCCGATAGGTGCCCACAGTAGTACAAACTCAAGGCCTCTCAGGTGGCCTTCCTGCCTCCACCATGGATGGACTTGGACGCTTCTATTCCCGCCTTCGTCTTCCTGAGTTTGCTCCTCCCCACCCCAGACTGGCCCTCTGCCCACCTGCTTATGCAGCTGGTCCTCCGGGCTTGGCTTTTCCTTGTGGTGCTTGGCGTCCATACAGACACTGAGAAGCTCAGTCCTGGGCCGGGCTGCCCATACTGCGGCCACCCCCACCAGAAGGAACAGCAGCTGTGTTCTCACCAGCTGGGCCATGTCAGTCTCTGAAGGAAGAGCTGTGGTCAGTGGCACCACGGAAGGCAGAGGTGGGGCCTCCAGGGGGGTGGAAACAGCCCCCGGTAGGTGGAGCCTCCGTGAAACCTGGGCCTGGTCCCGCCCCACCCCTACCCCTCAGTCTTCCCAGCCTCAGGGAGGGATGGGATCAGACACCACCCCCTGGGACAGTGGGTCCTTGCTCGGGTCACTCAGGTTACTGACTTCTCCAGGTGGAAGGGATCAAGTGATGAAACTAAGGGATGGGGTTTGGGCAAAATGCAGAAATAGCCAGGAGATTGCCATAGGTCCACAGTCTCTTGTTTTGAAATCCTTGGAGGCAAATGTTTCAGAATTTAAAATATTTAGGATTTGGTAAAAGATAATACGATTTACATGCACAACAATCAAGCACCCATTCTGTGGTAAAAGAGTTACACTGGTGGGTTAAATAAAAACTATAATAACAACAACAACAACAACAAATTATAATAACCTCACATTGATTCTCAGGTCAGATTTTGACACCAAATCACTTTGTGCAAACTTTGACAATGATCTTAGTTTTGGAGCTTCAGATAAGCTGCAGACCTATGTTTAGAAAAAACAAAAACAAGGGGCTCCTGGGAGGCTCAGTCTGTCAAGTGTCCGACTCTTGATTTCAGTTCAGGTCGTGATCTCAGGGACATGAGATCAAGGCCCACGTCGGGCTCTGAGGTGGGAGTGGAGCCTGCTTGGGATTCTCTCTCTCCCTCTGCCTCTGCCCCTCCCTTCCCTCTCTGAAAACCCAAACCAGAAACAAACAACCCCCAACCTTGGTTCCATCCCTTCCCCAGCCTCATCATTTGGTTTCTCCCAGAGGTCCTGTGACATGGGTCATTGTCACAGGGCACGGAGGGCTGGGGGTGGGTATGGGGAGCCAGCTGGACAGCCTCCAGGCCTCGGGAGGTTCCCATCCCCTGGCCACAGAGCTGGCCTCCCACCTTTGTGGCACCTCAGCCCTCTGAGCTCAGACCCTGAACCTGGAGGTGACTGACTGTTCCCTCACCCCACTGGTCACCAGGCACCTGGGCTCTCCTAAACTTTGGCATGTTTCCCACAGCTCCCAAAAGCATATGCACCCCTTTGCTCAAAGCTGCCTTGTCTCCACAGTGCCCCATGTCCTATGGAAATCGGGCTTCTTCCTGGGCCTCCTGGATGGGGCCAGAGCTGGCCGCCTCCAGGCTGACTGCCCAGCAGGGCTCAGGGAACCTGGAACTGAATTCCCGCCTCACTCCCCAACTCGCCCCTCACCTTCCCACCATCCAAGATTCTACTACACTATTTATTCTCGTGTTCATTCATTCTCTCCCCTGCTAATTCATTCATTCCAGGACCCAATCATCCTTCTCATGACCAAATCACTCACTGATCTGCGAGAGCAGAGGACAAATCTGTATTCTGGGGAGCACCAGGTGACTCTCTGGGGAAACAGTCCAGCAGTTTAGAGCACAGGGGGCCAGAGGAGCCTGTCCACAATTTCAGTCCTAACAGAAAGCCCCCGCCCCAGGCTCCGTGGGCCCCACCTGGTTGGTCAGCAGTTTTTCTTACTGCGGTTGCTTTCTAGAGCTAGAGCTCTCCTCTCGTGCAACCTACATCACCCGGCAAGCCACTCCCCACATTCCTAGTCTCTGCTTCAGATCTTGGTGCAACTCTCCACCCCCACCACCCCCACCAGCCACCATCACCCTCATCACCCTGACCACAGGTGCCCTAGGGCCCCAGACTTGAAGCGCGCTAAGGACTTGGCACTGTGCTAAAAGGCAGGAGCCCATCGGTTGTAGTTCGGGGGTGGACACTAACTTATAGTTTTAACCTTGGCCAGGCCCTGCTCTGCTCTGGGCCCTCAGCCTCCACTTTTGGATTCTCTGGGATTTAGGCCAAGTGGATCCTCCTGGTTCAGCAAATTCTTTAACACCTGCTGGGGGCACTATGGGGTGTGTTGCCTCTACTGAGGGGGTGGGGAGTGGCATACCTGGGAGAGGAAGTGGTTCCCGGTCTGGCTCAGGCTTCTGCTCTGCTCTAGAGTCCCCCTTGCCCTACTTTGGGGCACAGACGAGGTTTAGTGGCCTAGGAGACGGGCAGTAGGGCAGGCAGTGGGGAATGTGGCCCAGGAGTGGAGCCTGGGATCGGGCGAAGGCCACTCAGCAGTTAATTATTGCACGCTAATTATTGTGGGCACTAGCCAGGCCTCCATGGGAGGTGGGTGGATTCATAGTGCAGACCTAAAGCCACTCCCCAAGTCCCACTTACCCCTTTTTCTCCCCCAAACTCAGGTCTGATAAAACCTGGCAGCCCGAGATGCTGGGATCCTTTAAAATAATCCTGTCCACTTCCAACCCCCTGTCCTTTGTATACAGATGAGAATGAGATCCAGAGACTCAGGACAGAACCAACTGCAGGGCGAGGACTGGAGTGCATGCTTCTAAGCTCCCAGGCAGCTGTAGCGAGTACAAAGCTCCCCAGTTCCCAACACAGAGATCCACCAACTCCTCCAACCTCACCAGCCCCAGGCATTACCACCAGCCAAATCAGACATTCATATGTCCAGCCCCTCTCCCTTCCCCCTGGCACCCACCCACACAGGTGTCCCTTCTACAGCATCTGAGAGTCAGGTCTCCGGGAGACCCCTCCACCACGCCCACCCCAGCCAAGGACAGAAGCCTTCTTTTTACCATGGTGGTACCACTGGCGGGGAAAGGGAAAAGCAGAGGAGCAAATTTGGGCAAGAAGAAATGCCGAGCTCCATTTTGTCACGGTGCCTGTGTGCCAGCCAGGGAGAAGTGGTCATGGAGTCAAAAGCCCCGGGGAGGGTACAGGTTGGATACGTATGTGGCAGCCATCGGCCTAGGGACAGCAATAGAAGTTTAAGGAAAATGGGGCCTCAGCACTGTGGGGAAGGCCACAGGTCTGGGCCCATGGAACAGGATGGGGATGGGCTTGCTGGAGAAGCAACGAAGCCCTGAAGGGCCTGTAAAGAAATGGACTCCCAGAAGACCTCCTCCTTCCTTCCTTCCCCCACCTCAAGCCCTGTTTTACCTCTCCCTCAGGGCGATCCTTACTTGAATCCTGTGACAAGCAGGGAGGGTTAAGGCTTCAGAAGATCTCAGCAAATGAAGGGCCATCGGACTCCTCAGACCTCTCTTCTGGCTTTATAAGACCAGGCAGCCCTCTCCAGATTGGAGAAGAATGACCAGAGATCTAAGAATGCCTGCAGGAGGGAACTCCTCCAGATGGAACTTGCCCCTACCCGGCATCCTCCACTCTGCCCTGGGGACTGATCCTTAACTGGGTTTTGTGGCCTCTCGACTAGGAGAGGAAGACCCTGGGCCCTGAGGGCTTCAGAAGTCACCAGCTAATGGGAGGTGAGATGAAGGTGGAGTTCTGATCTGTGGGGAGTTCCTTCCCCTTTGTTGAGCCTTCCTCTGAATCTGGGATCTGGGTGCTGGGGCTGTCTGACCTGCAGGGAGGGGCAGGGTGAAGCAGCCACCTTTGATCCTGGACTGGAAGTTTATTTTTTTTTTT